AAATTTTTAAATATGACTCATTATTCAGCACCGTTGGATGAAAATCTCATAGAATTAGACAAATCTTTAATCCATTCGATATGGTAATCGTTGAAGACGGCCTTGAAATTCCTAAAGAATTAACTATACTGGGGGTCAGATGGGGTTTCAAAGGTCTAGTTTCGGCCCGGAATGACCCAAAACGTTTTTTGAAAGCGTTTTGAAACCCCATATCATGGTACATTTGTACACGGTACGTATTAGCCTATCAGAATGCGAATGAAGTAAATATGCGGGGATTGCCTTATATATTACATTCAATTACATTTTCAGGTAATGGAACAATAGAGCTAGATGAACTATTGTATTTGATGTGGGAAAGACACTACAATGTTCATAATTCGGACCAAGATTTAGAAGAAGACATTAAGGAATTATTTGAGACATTTGACATTGACAAAGATGGTAAACTATCGGATAAAGAGCTATTTGCATTCTTGACACATATAGGAAAAGTTATATTAGAAGAAGATATCGATGACGTCATGAGAGAAGTGGATAAAAATGAAAATGGAGTCGTAGATTTTGATGGTGAGTTTTTCAAATATACAAAATCTTGTTTTTGTTCAATCAAAGGTCAGCATCACGAATTGGCCGATCACTGATATTCATGTTTTGATGATGTCATGTATTTAACATTTTAGAATTGATAGAGTAGGTGTTGGCAAACCGGGGTTGACAAATAATGCAATCTATTTCAAATAGTCGTATTTAGTTGTACTTGTACTTTAGTATCTTGGATTGTATGTGTTTTATTTCAATTTTCAATTTCAATTTGTTTATTTCACAAAACACATACAATATACATATACAATGAGTGGGTGACACAAGGGTTTGTGTATATTCCCAAGATGGAGTAAATTTACAAAGTATGTTAGAGTGGCGGGGATCTGCCATTGCATGTCTTAAATAATATATATATATATAATTTGTGCCATCAAAGTGCCCCTAAATAGAATTAAAGTTGTAATAAATATTTTTTTGTCTGTTTTTTCATGAGTATGATGCTTCTGATAGATTTAAAATGTGGGGGTAATTGGTTCCAAATATCAGGTATAGAATAAGATAGCATTGATTTTCCATAGTTTGTACGAATTTTTGGTTTGTCGAAAGTTTTCTTGTTTCTTGTATCATAATTATGTCTATTTTCAACTGTTTGGAAGAAATCTGGAAATATTTGTTTGTAATTATCCTTGTCATTGATCCATTTAAACATGAATATATATCTTTGTTGCTTATTTATCTGAAATATGTTCAGGATTTTTAGATCATGAAAAAGAGGTAAAGAGTGAGCTCTAAAGTCGCTATTTGTTGCAATTCTTACAAATTGTTTCTGAGAACGATGAAGAGTATTAAGCAATGTACAGCCTGCTTCGCCCCAGATTATATTTCCATAAATAAGATATGAGTAGATTAGAGAGTAATATATACTAAGTAAGCTTTTGGCATTCAAAAAATGTTTAACTTTGTATAATATACCAATGGTTCTTGATATTTTCATGTTTACTGCTGTAATGTGATTCTTCCAGGTAAGATTCTGATCAATTATAATTCCTAAAAAGTTTATATGTGTCACTTGCTCAAGTATTTTATTATTCACAATGACTGATATATCATTTTTATTATATTGCTTTTGTCTAGAAGAAAATATGATATATTTAGTTTTCTTTGCATTTAACGAAAGTTTATTTGTGGCTATCCATTCCTCAATTAGTTTCAATTCAGCATTCAAAGCATTGGTAATATCATTAAGATTTTTTCCTTGTATTAACAGATTCGTATCATCTGCAAATAGTACAAAAAATAGTCGAGGAGAAGATAGGTAGATGTCATTGGTGTATATGATAAAAAACAAGGGACCTAGTACAGAGCCCTGAGGAATTCCACATGTGATTGACTCGGGATCTGAAATAGTGTCTATATAACAAGTTTTTTGAATTCTATTAGAAAAGTAACTTTTTACCCATTCCAGCGCTACTCCTCGTATCCCATAGAAATCGAGTTTTTGAAAGAGGATATTATGGTCAATAGTATCGAAAGCTTTAGAAAAGTCAAGAAATACACCAATAGAGAATTCACCTTTGTCTATAGAATTTCTGATTTTTTCAACAAATGTAAGTACTGCCATGAATGTTGATTTTTTTCCCGAAAGCCAAATTGATAAAGATACATTATTTCTATTTTATCAAGAAAAGAGGTCAGCCGATGGTGCGTAAGTTTCTCAAGTAATTTTGAGAAGACTGGTAAAATCGATATAGGTCTATAATTATTAAAAAGCTGTTTGTCCTCCTTTTTATGAATTGGTATTATCTTCGCAATTTTTAATTTGTCAGGAAAAACACCATTTGTTAGAGATAAATTGAAAATATGTAATAATGGTAATTGGAATTCCTTACCACAATGCTTAATTATGGAAGGTTTGAAATCGTCAAAACCGGCCGCAGAGTTTTTCAATTTTGATAATTCCACGTTTAATTCATTGGAGTCGATCGGATTCAGAAATAAAGTTGAAGCTTGTCTACCAATATTATTCATGTAGTCTAAAGGACTTTTGTTTGAAGGAGGAATCTTTGCTGCCAGGGTCTCACCTACCCTTGAAAAGAAAGAATTAAACTGATTAGCAATGTCTAATTTATTTGTTATTTCAGTATTATTATGGAAGAATGTGTCTGGGATATTGTGATTTTTATTTTTCCTTTGAAGAATTTCATTAATAATTTCCCAATTAGCTTTAATGTTTCCTTGATTTTCCTCAAATTTTCTGTTAAAGTAATGCTTATGGGCTGATCTTATGATATTTTTTAACATTTTAGAGTAAACTTTATAATTTGCCTTATTTTGATTTGTTGGTGTACGAAGATATTTTTTATATAATTTACTTTTTTGTCTCACTGATACAAGAATAGCTGAAGTAATCCAGGGTTTTTCATTATTATTATAGGACTTAAAAGATACCAATTTGATTGGAAAACTTTCATCATAAATTTCTTTCAGGCGTTCTTCAAAAAAATTGTAGGAAGTATTTGCATCATCGCTATTCATTGTATCTGCCCATGATTCTTTGGCTAATTTTTCTTGAAAGGTAGTAAGATTATTTTCAGAATATTTTCTAATTGATTTTTGAACAATTTTAATCTGCTGAATTGGTTTATTAAAAGTAGCAAAAATAGGGAAATGATCAGAAATGTCATTGAAAATTATTCCACATAGACCAGTTTTAGTATCATTTGTGAAAATGTTGTCGATTAATGTTGCTGTACTTGAAGTTACCCTGGTTGCTTTATAAATAAGTGGTATTAAATTGTAAGACGTCATGATATTATAAAAATTTTCAGTTGACTCATGCTGGTTGGTCTTGAATAAATCAATATTAAAATCCCCCATTACATAACTAGTTTTGTTTTCTCTTGAAAGATTATTTAAATAAACGTCTAGACCATTATTAAATTCTTCTATATCTATATTAGGAGGCTTATAAATGCAAGTTAAGAGTATATTTTTACCATTGTTTACAATAATCTCAATTGTAAGAACATCACAGCCAAAATTATTAAATTGAAGATCTGGTCTTTCTTTAACATTAATTGTATCTTTAATATAAAAACCAACACCACCCCCTCTAGTAGATCTTGATTTAAAATATCCATTGAAATTCATTAATTTAGAATATTGTGAATTTTGATCCTCATAAAGCCATGTCTCAGAAAGGCCAACAATTGATACTCCCTTCTCAAGTGATGACAATAGATTAACTAATTTCCATTGATTTGATGGCAAACTTCTAATATTACAGTGTACTATAGACATATCTACATTGTTTGTTGCATTCAGATTATTATTTAACTCAGTTAAAGTAACATATTGACTTTTTGTCATAATTTCATTGGTTGTAACATCAAATCCAGGAGCATCATTCATTTCCTCTTGTATTTCAAGTGGGTTGAAAAGTTTATTCTCAAAATGTGCAAGTAAATTGCCATTTGGAGCGGCCTCTATGAAATCATTTTGGTCATTCACTTTGTAAAAAGGCATTTCCGACCATGGGCATGGCACTGGGATAATTATGTTATCCCCCATCTAGTAAGTAAATAAGTACATGCAGTGACAGATCCCCTATATTATTACACAAATGGTTTGAAAAAATTATGGTATGCAAAAATCTAAGAGAACGTTAATTTCGTCCCAATGGAATAATTAGCCCTACGAAAGAAACCAGAGTCAAATTAATTCGGTATTGCATAGGCTAAAACGAATTTTTTCATTTGACCCGAAAATACACTCAATTTAGAACAAGACCCTCTGAAATAAGTTCCATTGTTTTTAGGGAGTCATACCATATTGGCCAATGGCCAATTTCATTGCTTACATTTCAAAATGTTTTTTTTTCAGAATTTGTTGCCTTGATGCACGAATTAATAAAACAACATGACGTAAAGAGCTGATGACAAGAAATCTAGACGACACGCGGCAGGAAAATTGTGATATTGGCCATTGCGCCTGGACTAAACATGGAGTCAATACTAGACTTTCTATACGCAAAAACGGAAATAATAGTTGCAGTTAATAAAGCTACTGTGACCTAGATCTTATTTAGGTTCTCAAGCAAACGAACCTATCAAGGTTGGGGATACAAAATAATTATTGCCAATTTGCAAACATTTTATAACTAATGTTGTTATGGCAACTGATTGTTGTGCTGCCATAGGGATGGTGCAAAAAAACAGTTAAACTGATAGCATATTGAAACTACACAAACGATTTATTTGTTGTTGTTTTTATCTATAGACAGTGAAATTATATTTTGTTCTCTGGAGCTGACGTTCTACAATAGGAACATTGCATCTGAGCATACATGACATCAAAATGGGCGTCATATAGAGATTACTGCTGTCACATATGGCATCCGTTGATTTATAAGTAAGGATTCAAGAATAATTTACACTTAGATAACAAAACATTGATTGCTGTGTATCATAAAATTATTTAATCACTGCCATATTACCATGGTAACATGTCTACCTATTTTAAGCTATCTATCAGTATAAATTCCAGAAGTCTAGCTGGCGATAACAGGTTGCATTCTCGTTGTTTACCAACAACATAGTTGCTCGATCGGATGACAATTGATTTTTCTGAAAACAAAATTTGACATTATACTTGAGATGGAAAGTCATACAAACACGAAAACAAATAGTGGGCAAATAGTTAATTGTTTAACTTGCATTAAGCTGGGTTTGCAAATCTTTTAACAGTATTTACTCAGTGATAATGCATTCAATATCCAACTGTCATTCTACACTTTGTTCAAAGTTATGAAATTGTATAGGCATACCTCTTTTGGAAAAGTCTAGACCTTGCTCTTCATAATCACTAACAACATTGTCATCGAGAAATACAATTGTGCGGTTTGTATCTTCGAACCTCTGTTTTCCACTAGATGATACCCTTGACCACACCCATTCCAAGGATGCCTAAATAATTAAATGACATAGAGACACTGTTACAGTATTGGTTTAATGATCAGATTTTCGAAATAATGGTATTGCCATTTGTGTTTTCCCACACGAGGACACTTAAAGAATTATTACATGCACAAATTGATAAAACTCACAAAAATGATATGAAGTTTCAAAAATATGCAATAAGATCTAGAGTCGAGCATGTCAACCATGTAACACTGTACAAAATGTCATATTTAGAAATATAATATAGGTTGTCAACGGTTGAATCAGCGTATCAGCTGCTATAACTGGATATACGTCCCTAATCCTCCGAACGCTCAAAAATCCAGAATATCTTTCTAAAAAGAACACCTGCGCTAGGAGGATGTACGTCCGTAAAATAAATTAATTATGTAATTTCTCTTAAGGTTTACCTTGTTGACCTTCTTACAACTGACATCTAATGTTTGATCTGGTTGCATTGCCAATGACTTTCTTATTTCTTCTGCAGTTATCATTTTTAATTGTATTACGTCAGCAGTCTGATTGTACAGTCCACTCGCTTCATACCCAAATGGCATATCCCGTTTTGCTACAACATTCACAGAACTCTGATCCTTAGTGCTGGAGATGGTTGCCTTCGCGAATCGGAATTCAATACCGTTATCATCAACAGCTCTATTGACCTGAATGGGATGAGAATGTCTGAATGATACATTGCAAAATACAAACGTTTAACATGTTGGAACAAATTCTCTCAAAATATGTTATTTATGTTAAACCAAGGGTTTTCAATTCTAGTTGAAAGCCCATGATTAAACATAACATTCATAACACCATTTGCATAGCACCATTTAATATTTGGGTATTTGTACATTTCTTATCTTTTAGTGGATAACATGATATTGGTAGAAAATACCTTTAGTTTGTTCCAATCTCCCTTCTCTAATCCAGATAAAAGGTACTGTACCTTCTCTGCCCATGGTGATAACTCTCCATTCGATGGATTGTTTTCAATCTCTAATGCTTCAATAATCGGCTATTTGAAGATAATGATGAAGAAAACATGTACTATGAAACCTTCTCTACATAAGGAAATTGATATACATGTATCTAAAATGCATAGTCAATAAAGAAGCTGAATGCAATTATAAATTTTAATTTACTATTAGTAGCAAGGATGGATCTTTTACCTGCATTCTCTTTTCGTTGTCCTGATATCTTGCTTGCAACCATGTTGCGGCATTTTTGATAAGATTCGTTGGTTTTTGTAATGTGTGCACCATAAATTGAACTATCGCATTAGCCATTTTGGTTTGAGCAATTGACCCATCCACTCTTGCAGGGATGTCGTATTCCTTCACGGCAGGTGGCATTTCGCCTGTTGCATATTGACCATGGTTCACGCCATCCATAGTTACAACTGGGTATTTCAATTCGAGAGCTCCGTCCTTGTTATTATCGACGGCTTTCTCTAGTTTCCTGTCAAATTTTATTACATCTAAAACTATATGCTATTTCCAAAAAGCCTGTAACTCTATGCCATGATAGTACTTTAAACATTTTTACATTACCTAAACTCTTGGGCAATTTTAGTGACCCTTGCCATACCATCAAGATCTCCAGTCAAAGTCAAAACTGGTAGAGGGTAAGATACCAAATCTGACCCTTTCATATAGGAGCCAAAGAACATAATCCCAGATAGCATTTTAGTGTTTTCCCCTGCAAAACTTTCAACATTTCCACCTGAAATGTACAATATGAACTAATAAATACGGGACAGTGCGAAACACAGGGTCGATTCATGATTTCAATATAACGTGTGATTGTTTGATTGTCAATGAAGGTCTCCTAAATCTAGGACAATATCTTTTATTTATACCTCCTGCACTATGCCCTCCAAGATATAATGCTGCCCCCTCTGGGAGTCCTTTCCCTTTCATTTCCTTCAAGGCGTCATTTACAGCGCCATCTATTTGAAGTGGAGATGGGAAATCAAACCAATAGTCAGTGGTTAAACCCACCCAGAGTCGATGAGGAGACATAGCCTGGATTCTCCTTCCTGGATAAAATGTAAAATAAGAATAACATAGCATATTAATTAATGATTAATTAAATTAATAATTAAATTCATTCACGTTGGATTATGATTTTGGGACAGTTGGAGTAAACACTGCACATTAAAACCCATCATGGTGTCAAAGAAAAATGTCACTCTCGGGATATCTGTACGACAATTATAATATCATACTACTTACTTTACTGGTAATAATAAAATAAATTGTTATGTACGGTAGCTTCATTTCTTTTTGATAATCTGGCGTACTTCTGGCATTCGTTAAGTGTGAAATAAAGAAGACTGCGTAAGTCTATGAAGTTTTTTGTTCTTACCAAGAGCTTCATATTGTTCTCCTTTGAGAAATGCACCAGGCACCAAAATCAACGCTACATTTTCCAATCCTGGTTCACTTTTTACTGGTTCAAGAACAACCGTTCTTGTTCCAGTAGCAAGTCCCACAAATACCGATACGCAAAACAAAGTAAACGACAAATTCATATTTCAAGATGGCGTCTCTCGAGCTGCCTTTTGATGAAAGTGATTCCACTTTTGTGATCGGTGTGAAAGGTCAGTCTTATTGCAGATGGTACGATGTAAACTTGCTAAGTGGTAGTTATCTTAGATGATAAAAGATGCGCAGAGATTAATTTGATATTCATTGATTACAAAATGGCACCATTGTAGTTCCCTGTTCATGTAACGAACTTAATGAACTGAAGTCAATGGCTTTATCTGAAACAGTCGCAAGGATATTTTTCGTCTTGAATTAAATGTAATATATCATAACATGCATCGTCGCTGTCGACGTGCCTGATCTTGTTGTTCCGGATCCATGGAAGACACGAGTATGTCTCTAAACAGAGTGTGTAAATTGTAATATATGAAACAATTACAGATGATTCTATTCAAGTTTTACATGATATTAACCCCTGTCGCATGTCTACTTTTGTGGTAGATTTCCTAGGCCAGACATGAGGAGTCAACACAAAGATAGTAGATACATATCTTTGACACATTTCCATCAATGAGGATTGCATTTGCAATTTAAATTAGTATCAAATTATTTGATGATCAAGTGTTTCCTCGGGTTTTGAAGGGAGTGTAGATCATTAACACATTGAATCAGTTGGTAAACCAATCAGAGGACAGCACTATTCGCACAAGTCAGAGATGAGATAAGAGAGATTAGTGACCACGCAGCTATTCACTTAACGAACAAAATTCAAGGAAACCATGTATTCCGTACCAAAATGTACCCTACTAGTCATAGGCAGTTTCATACTCATGACAAGTAACATATATGCTTTGAAAACTATAATTTTGAAACCTGTTGTCAATGATGGGACGGATGTCGCTTTTATTATGGTCCCTGGGGCATACGTCTCTGGGAAGCAGTACACGGACCTAGGTAAGATACACATGATATGACAAAACAGAAATAAATCTGAATAAAATATTTGTGATGTTAGAGCAGTCTGTGTAAAAACACAGTTCATAATATCTTAGGAGGCTTTACTTGTTCACAAAATGAAGCAAATATACCATACTGACCATCTAGGACAACACTAGAAATGCACCCACCATGAATAAACTATGAACTATGTTTTAGGCGTGGCTGTACAAAAGGCATCACCTCATAAACTTTGGGTAGGACTAACTACAGATTACATTGGCAACCTCGTCAATCCAGCTCAACTAGGCATAGCTATAAATGATGCCACACAAGAGTTAATAAAGGCTGGAATGCCTGCATCTGCAAAGGTGTTTCTGGCGGCACATAGTTTGGGAGGTACAGTGATTCATATGTCATGCCACCGATGAGATAAAATTCGACCATGGAAAAAGTGCATAGATTTACCATGTGCTAGCGAATTGATTTGTTTTAATGTGTTTTAAATCGATTATTGCAGGTGTATTTCTGGATATGTTTGTACCCAGTCACGTGGCAAACACTGCTGGTATGATCCTTTATGGTTCCTACTTCAAGAAAGGCCAATTGGCTTCGTTCCCAGTTCCGACCTTGACCTTATCTGGTGACCTTGATGGACTTGTTAGAATTACACGGATTGCTGCCCAATTCAAGTAAGCACACCCCAATGATACATTATGATACTCCATATCAGTATTCTTCAAAAACCTTATGAATGAATAGTATCATTGCTATTTCCAGAGAATTGATGAGCTATGTTGCTCAGTATAATAAAGATGGTGCTTATCGTTTTCCAACGGTCACTCTAACTGGTGTCAACCATGGTCAGTATTTCACAGGGAATATCCCCAGCAACGTGCAGAAGTACGACATAAAGTCGGAGGTAGACGGGCCAACTGGCCGACAAATGATTGCTGAGGCAACCGTTGATTTCATGATCAAGACACTGGGTGTACCTCAATCGAGATTGTCAGATTCAACCAACAACCTAACACAATATTATCAGGAAAATGAGAAGCGTATGAAGGTAATAAAATGTGTATTAATGTCATGAAGAATCGTTTCTAAAAATCAAACGTGGAACATGTTTAAAAAAGTGCTTATTTTCCCAACAATAATTATAAACATTGACACATACCTGGTTGGCATCACTTCACAACTCATCTTTTTTACCTTTTTTCTCTAGCCTATTCTTGATGTATTTGCGTTGGAGAAGACAGGCGGATCATCCAACTTCTCGAAAAATGCCCAACGAGTCATATCTGGACTCCAAACAAATAACTGGAACAAACTACTGGTATGTTCATTTACACTGTCTATTATGTAGAGGAGTTGAATCTTTGGTTGACTTGAACCTCTCTTTAATTGTAGATTAGTTTAGCAACTAGATAAGTGGTGTTCCTTTAATCGTTCTGATTACCCCTGACAACAGACTACCTGGCTTTAGAAGGAGTCTAGCCTATGCAACTGGAGAATGTTGAACTCTTACCTGTACTTGCTTTTTTGTTCCTCATAGGTATTCAACGACGTCCATTCTGGTATCCAATTCGTAATGGACAAACCAGCCATTAAAATCGTGGGGAGTCAAGCCGTCCTTGCAACATATTCGGATGTAGCCTACCCAGAAAATGCAATGGACGTCTCAACAATAAACGAAAGTGCAACAAACATTGCTATCAAAATGAAAACTTCTAATTCCATTCAAAAGGAACTGAAGGGAGGTCTAAGATTTAATACAAGTGTCAGCTGTCAAGACGTTAACAAGGTAAAAACCTCCATTTTTATTTGGCGACACATTTTAGGAATTCATATATTTTTGATGACCTCAGGGGTTTTCAAATTAGAAAGATGGACAGATACTAGGGATCGAATTGAAAATATATAGTTGCCAGCTAGGATGCCATTCGAAGCAGCGATTTCATATTGATATTAGCCATCCCTCAAATATGAGTACCAGATTGACATTTTAGCTATAGTAATTTAGTTTATCGTATGATCTGTAAAATGAAGCCCTCTGATTGGTCAGTTCTTGTGCTGTACCAACCTGTATTGCTACTGAGATTGTCTCCGTTGATGATCTCCGTCGCAATACAGAAAATATTGGTACGGAGGGGACAATCTCAGTAGCAATACAGAAGATCACACGATAAAAACGTTATTGAATGATTTGAAGTGCAATACAGGATATATTCTGTCTCGATATTCTGTATTGGCACTCGACTTCGTCTCGTTCCAATACGGAATTCTCGAGCAGAATATATCCTGTATTGCACTTCAAATCATTCAATAACTTATAATCTTGATCTTCAATTATTACCGGCGGTGATGTAAAAACAAAACAAAAAAACAAGGCTGGTGTTTAGTATATTCTGAAGTTATTTCCAGACAACAATTTGAATATAGTGTATGTATCATAAAAACAAATAAGTAAGACGAGGAAAACTGACTCGGGATCAAAGTTATTCGGAAAAATCTACCATGATATTTATGTTCCAATATTAAGTGAAAAAATATAGTCTTTCAATAAATCAAAATGTAAGCAGCTATTTTCTCCCATAGATGGCGTACGACCTTGCCAAGGCCATGTCATCTAGTTTGGCGCTGCAAAGGTTCTCTGGGATGAACTATACCATCGACTTTGCAGAGGATAAAAAGGTTGGATCCGGACCTGCATTCCTAATAGGCCACCTTGAATTTTCCAAAAATGGTACGTCAGAACACCACATATTATCATATCCTATTTAATATCATTAAACAATTTTATTAAACCTCGCTCAGTCTCAGATTAGCATAACTAATAACTTGAAAAACAGGGGGTTAGTAGCCTGAAATAATGGGATTATTTGTATTTTCAGGTAAATCTATAGTGATTCGATCCACCGCATTAAAGACCAGCTTAGATGTACCAATCAAAAGCATCGCAGGACAACATTACTGTCAAGCTATTTCTCCAGCGAGACTCTTAGAATACATCTATGTTGATGGCCTGAGGGAAAATAATTAGAGGCTTCACGATGTACATATTGTAAAATACATTTACATATCTAATTTAACACTGCGTATATAGGCTTATGTTTTTTAAGAATGTAACCTCGTATCACAGAAATAATTACCAACCGGATAGCAAACGCAGTGCTCTTTTTAGAAACTGTGAATGTTAATTCAAATTTTGACTTATCTGACCATCCACTTATAAAACAGAATTACGAAACAAATCAAATCAGTGATTAGTTCTTAGGGTTCATATCATAATTCTGTTTAAATAAAATAACAGAGTCAAGTACATAAACACATACTTCTATAGGTGTTGATTATTAAATCAAAAGTGGAATTTGACCACTCATGATTAAGTATTTTTTGATAACAGAATACGGGCCTCCATTTTTTTTAAATTGTTGTTCAACATGGATTGTACAAATCTGGTATCCTTATGACTGTTTTTATGTTAATTATCTAACTTTGTGTTTCTAATACCTTTTGGTATTCACCATAATTTAGATTTGCACATTGCTATTAAATAGATTTCAGGCGATGACAAGATGTTTCTTTGTGTTATGAGTGTAAGGAGGTGCGAAAACATTTATGTATCATTATCAACTATATGGTTAGAAATTAAACCAAATTAAGTCCAAATTACTCCAAGCAAATTCAGAGACGTGACATAATATTAAAGGGGAGAAAGAGAAAGAGGTAACTTCGTCCACTCATTTGATGAACAAAATAACCAAAGTATGGCGTGTTCTTTATCAAAATGTTCCCTTCTGGTGAAAATTGGCTTGATGTTTATGGTTAATAGGATACATGTATGTGCTGTAAAAACAATCGTTTTAAAGCCTGTTGTTAGTGATGGAACGGATGTAGCGTTTATAATGGTCCCTGGGGCATACGTCTCTGGAGAGCAGTACGCGGACCTAGGTAAGGCTCGTTTTTAGAGGATATGCTTTATTTTATTTTGGATTAGTTCGTAATGTAAGAAAACGTTAATAGCTTTTAGTTTTCGTGTTTTACATTTATTCATGTATTGGGATTCTGAAGCATTTTGATACTCATCACATCGTTCTATTTGTGAGACCCCGTCAGCAACAGTAGTAATGATATTGAACTGAAATGAATTGCACTACTTTTATATTTGTATTCTACAATGTAACTATTAATGTATAATGTGTCTCATAAGCCCAAGTAGGGCTGGCTAATTTAGATTGTTTAAATAAATGAATGAATGAAAAAAAAAACTAGAAAAACAGCAACTCCATGGAGTAGCAAATCCCGCCGAACAAAGCATATTTTGATTATTAGTATCCGTCAACTTGTATTTGAGTAATCAAAGATTACGTTTTTTTATGAAAAATTATTTCATAATTCAGCTGCCATCTTGAAAATTCTTTGTCAAACAGAGGTACTGTGTCTGTAGGCATCAGCATATAAAATTTGAACCAAATCCGTCTACTGGTATTTGAGTTATCAAAGATTACGTTTTTTACGAAAAATGGTGGCGATTTTTAAATTCAGCTGCCATCTTGAGAATTCTTTGTCAAACAGAGGTACTGTGTCTCTAGGCATAATCATATAAAATTTGAATCTAATCCATTCTCTGGTATTTGAGTTATCAAAGATTACGTTTCTTTAAGAAAAATGGCCACCATTTTGAAAGCAGCCATTTTAAAAATCTCTTCTACAGCATAGTTCCTTTGTCTCGAGGCATCAGTATATAAAATTTGAACCAAATCCGTCAACTTGTATTTGAGTTATCAAATATAACATTTTTTCATGAAAAACGGTGGCCATTTTGAAATTCAGCCACTATCGCAAAAATATCTGAACAAATCTACTAGACCCTAGGCATCATCATATAAAATTTGAACCAAATCTGTTCAATTGTATTTGAGTTATCAAAGATTACGTTTTTGCGAAAAATGGCCGCCATTTTTATATTTAGCAGCCATTTTGAAAATCTTTTCTTCAGCCTAGCTCCTTTGTCCCTTCATCAGCATATAAAATTTGAACCAAATCCGTCAATAAGTATCTGAGTTATCAAATATGACGTTTTTTCATGAAAAATGGTGGCCATTTTGAAATTCAGCCATCATCTTGAAAATTCCTCTTAGAACAAATCTACTTTGTCCCTAGGCATCACCATGTACCAAATCCGCTTAATGGTATTTGAGCGGATTATTATGTTTTTTACAAAAAATGGCCGCCATTTTGATAATTAGCAGCCATTTTGAAAATCTCTTCCTCAGTATAGCTACTTTGTCCCTAGGCATCAGCTTATAAAATTTGAACCAAATCCGTCAACTAGTATAGTATCTGAGTTATCAAAAATTACGTTTTTTATGAAAAATGGCGGCCAATAAGAAATTCAGCCGCCATCTTGAATATTCTTTTCTAAACAAATCTACTTTTTCATCATCATATAAAAAATGTGCATCATCATATAAAATTTGAACCAAATCCGTTCAATGGTATTTGAGATGTCAAAGATTTTGTTTTTTAAGAAAAATGGCCGCCATTTTGATATTTTGAAAATCTCTTCTTCAGTATAGCTTCTTTGCCCGAGGCATCAGCATATAAAATTTGGATCAAACTAGTATTTGAATTATCAAAGATTACATTTTTACGAAAAATGGCGGCCATTTTGAATTGAGTGCCCATATTAAAAATTTCTTCTCGAGCAGAGGTCCTACACCCATAAGGCATAAGCCTATAAAATTTGAATGAAATCCGTCAGCCAGTATTTGAGTTATTGCCCGGACAGACGAACGGACAGACGAACGGACAGACGGCTTTTCTATATCCCCCTCGAACTTCGTTCGGTGGGATAATACATACATGTATATAAGTAAATAAATGCAACGAGCAGAAAGGGAAGTAACATAAGGACGATAGAAGAAGATAGTGTATTTTACAGATCTATATCGTCCGTGCACTTATCACAGCATTATCACCTGGATAAGAAATTGACATTTTCCAGAGTTGAAATTCCAATAGAGTTTTTGTAAACAACTCATACTAATGTTACTAATGTATAATCTAGATTCTAGAGAAAATAGTAATAATTGTAGGTGTGGCTCTACAAAATGCATCACCTCATAAACTGTGGATAGGACTAACAACGGACTACACTGGCAATCTTGTAAATCCAATCGAACTTGGTGTTGCAGTAGTTGACGCTAAACAGAAGTTGATAGAAGCTGGAATGCCTGGGTCTGCAAAGGTGTTCCTCGCAGGACACAGTCTAGGAGGTACTTTACAAATCTCTCACCAATGACAAATGTTTAAGCAAAATGCCTGTACCAATTTAATTTTAAGTTTTGAATGGAAAATAAGCATATAAATTATCTATTATCACAGGTGTATTTTTGAAAAGGTTCGTTCACACTCACGTGGCTAGTACAGCTGGAATGGTCCTCTATGGCGCCTACTTTTCAAAGGGAGAATTGGCCTCGTTTCCTGTTCCGACCTTGACCTTATCTGGTGACCTTGATGGGTTAACAAGAATAACACGCATTGCTTCCCAATTTAAGTTGGTAACAAATCAGAAAAAACTGATACTTCGAATTCTTTTTTGGTACAAGTATATGCTTAATTATATTCGAATTCTGTTCTTAATAAACAACTGGATGAAAGACTGTACCTAAAATTATTAATCTATCAGATCTCGATTTTTTGAGAGGAATAATTGTAGTGTCCTACCTTTCACATCTTAACTTTTATCATTTTTTCATTTCCAGAGAATTGATGAGTTATGTTGCTCATAATAATACAGATGGCATTTGGCGTTTTCCAACTGTCATACTCAGCGGTATCAACCATAGTCAGTATTTTACAGGGAATATACCAAGCAAGGTGATAAAATACGACATCACGCCAGAGTTAGATGGACCAACTGCTCGAGAGATGATTGCAGAAGCAACTATTGCTTTCATGATCAAAACATTGGGTCTACCTAAATTGAGATTGCAACATGCAACTTCTCACCTAGCAAAGTATTACACAGAAAATGAGGGACGAATGGAAGTAAGAGAAATGTAAACCATTTGTAATTTCCATATGTCATAATCAAAAAATCTTGGCACCTCTATATAATGAAATAGCCCACTTATTTAAGATATTTGACACTAGATAGCGATACACCGCTGGATTTCTGCTAAGTAACATTTTCCATTTTTAAACTAATGGAACTATTTGTTTATCTTTAGCCCATTTTTGATTTATTCGATTTGGAAAAGACAGACGGGTCGTCGGGATTCTCAAAGATTGCACAAAGAGTTATATCAGGACTTCCAAAAGAGAACTGGAACAAACTACAGGTTTAGAATTTTGATAACAAAAACTTTAATTTTCTAAAATATAGATAACTAAATCTTATAATTTCGCTAAAAAGCAAAACCTGCAAAAAATTGAGTTTAAAAGGAAATACGACACTTTGCCATGTGAGACTAATGGGCACTATGAATATTTTTCCTGGTAGGTGTTCAACGAAGTCCATAGCGGTGTTCAGTTTATATCAGATAAACCCACCCTCAAAATAGTAGGCAATCAAGCTGTCATAGCAACTTATTCAGATGTTGTGTATCCAGAAAACAACATGGACTCTTCAACTGTGAACGAAAGTGCAACAAACGTAACGATTAAAATGAAAACATCTGAAGCCATACAAGAACAGCTCAATGGTAACTTAAGGTTCAATACAAGTGTTAGCTGTCAAGACATTAACAAGGTAATTCATTCTGTTCGTTGTTCTATGATGCAGGGTGTATTGCCCTCAGCCCGTAGATTGGAGACATTCTAACAAAAATTATTGCAGTATGTAATGCCAAGGAAGATGTGAAAGAGCGAGGGAAAGTATCGCAACAGATTTTTGACAGTAAATAATTTTTTTCTAGTAGTTTCTGGCTGTACAAAAATGAATGCATATGAAAGGCCAGTGTATAATCTTTAAGAAAAATTCAAAGAATGGTTTCAAGATCAATTGGATTATCTCATAAGCCATGTTTAATCCACCCATCAACAAGCTTTTTTTTCAAAATACAATCGTCATTTTCACCATCGTCCCTCATTTTTTTTACAATTTTCATGCAAAGTTACATTGTACTTGAACACATGTTTCATCACTTAAAATATATAAGGAACTCCTCGTGGATTAGGATTATGATAATCCAATATAAGGGGATCCAATGGGGCTATGCTTTTAGTACAGCACACTCATATAAGATGTCATTAGTGTGCCATAAAGTTAGTTCAAAATGTTTTCATAAATGAATGGTTGGAATTGTTTGATCCCCTGCTGTTTGATCCCCTGTTTAATCAATGGAGCATAACCGCAGCATTTCCCAAAAGATTCTGAATACCTGTCAAGTTGACTGTTTAATGTTTGAGTGCAGTTAAACCTGTGTGTGTGTGTAAGTTGCTAAGAAATTCTAAATACCTCTCTTTATGATAATTTCTATGATGCCTTATTATTGCATTTACTTTGAACAGGTTTTCTGTATCTTGTTTATCAGTAATGATTCAGAGGTACAGTGCTATTAAAATCATAAATACAGTACAAGAATTTAGTACATCATACCTTTGCCAATAATTTTAGTAAGACAAATATTTTGATCCAGCTTCTGAAAAAACATTGAACATGTTTCTATATGATGATGTGTTATAACACACTTCCTTATTTGACTTTATCTCCAGATTGATTATTCAAATAATGAAATGAAGGAAGATATGCTAAGAATAATTTTTGCATATTCATCAATTCAAGAAATGTTATCCTAAGAAAATGTTATGAGTAACATACACTCTTACCTTAATGTTAACATTAGGGAGATTAAGCTTGCATATAAAATCGAAACGCCAACCTATGACCAATCGCCCATACAAATGCATCGCTAAATATTTTTCATTCACATTTAGGTTGTGAAAAACATTGCAAGCTTAAAGTCCCTATTGAGAGTCTCTGAAAACCACAATCAATACCATTGAGTGTGTGGTGTATACTACCTTTATCATTATTTCTAAGATTTACAATAACATCTTTTTAGCAAAATGTCCGATTTTCTTCCATATTAATGTGAACAAATATAAACAAACATAGAATGATTCTATTGGTTGAGTCAACAATTTCAGTTATTAGGGAGGTTAAGATCGCACTATTTTGATGAACGTACACATGGAATGTGTAAACTTATGGTCCCCTATTCACGGTGTTATAGCATGACGGTTACGTCAAGGCGATTTGCAAAATTTTGCGGTAACGATAACAAAAAATGGCGGATGGGAAAGGCAGCATGTCCTCTTTCTCACCTGTAGGCAATATTCACAGATAAGATTTCCTTTTAAACTAGTTCTATTCGGTGACGTATATATGGATGGTTATAAAGACTGGGTCAAATCTGCCAGGTGGTCTACAAGAAACAGAATATAATCTGTAAACCTACCGACTGAGATATCAAAGTTTATAAGTTTTGATCCATTCTCGTGTTGTCTCAGTACATGAGCCACTCAAAATATTAACTGTAAGTATAAGTAAACTGTGTATAACTACTGCAAATTCAAAATACATTATTATGGCTTGAGTAGAACATATTAGGTGGTTTCCAATGCTCAATTGGCTTTGTATGATCGTATGCAGGTTACATCTATATACCACAAGGTTTTTAGGCAATGTAGACCATGCCCTAACAACAAAAACAAAAATAAACAATTTACTAAATTTTTGTGTAGTTTTGAATTTCAAACTCGACAGTTTTTCTCTTATTTCATGTTATCGCCGGGCATCAATTTGCAAAGGCTACGTTCAAAATATACATTACTGAAAGTATCACTGAATGCGATTCTTACATAAATCGTCCATCCTTTCATTGATACACAGAAGTAGAAAATAATGCGCCAACCTTAGTTTTCTCTTCCATCGCGGCCATTTTATTGGATAAATCGGTGAACGTAGCTGTCCAACCTCGTTTTCAGAGGTGGCGTAACCGTCATGCTATAACACCGTGCTATTGACTATTTTCACATCACTGGCCTCTTTTTGCCTGATTGATATAATGCCAACTGGTGTAATGGTCCCCAGTTAAACCAGTTGAGAGATGGACAACATTACTGGGGGTCATAACAGTACTCGTTCATGTTCAAGTTCTCACACAAGTGTTTTACACATTCTGTAGCCAGCTTTTACCAAGGGGTAGGAGCAGTTTTACCAAGGGCAAAGCTTTTGCCTAGGGATGAACTTTTTGACAGTTTTGGCTAAAAAATCATGCGAAGTGCTCAGATTGGTGAGAAACTGCATCATTTTGAAAGAATCTCTTGGGGGAGCAGCAGCTCCCTTTATCTCTCCCCCTCTACCTGCCTACGAGCCTGTGTACTTAACCTCTCTAATGTTCATGATCAATACTAAATGTAAAATTTTCACATTTCTCATATTTCTACTATTCATATTGACCAATCATGTCATTTTAACAGGTCCTTAATCCCTTGTTTTCTAGTCGTATGTGCTTTTATTATTCAGTTTCACAATCTATTGTTTTGCCATGCCAGTTTTACATGTTTGCATGCTGAGTTTGTTTTATGTAATGTTTTTTGTTCCTTATATGGTTTACACATTCACTCAGTTGAGTTGGGGTGTTGCCCCATTACTAGTTAATGTTGCCTAGAGTTTGTGACTGTACATACACAAAGTATTTCAAATATATATTTTAGAAAACATTTTATATTTGATTCCCACCCAAGGGTCTTCCACTCACCCATTAACATAAAGAAAACATGAACTCTAATAAAAATGCCAACAAGACTGCAAGGGAAACTTAATCTATGAATTGGACTTTGCCATATCACATGTATTAGTCCCGTGACCAGGGAGGGGGAGGAGGGGGTTGAGAGACGACCCTCTCCCCTAGGCACATTTTCTGTCAACATCCTGCAATTTTTCACCACTTTAGTACTTTTCAAGTGATGTTCGGATGATGCTTTCATTTAATTGCTTGCGTTGATGGTTTCTCTTGAAAATTCATGCACATAAGGTGATCTAGCATTTCAACACAGGACCCTGAAAGCGCTATTTGAGCTTGAAGTAGAAGTATTCATAGTATTACTGTTTGTATTATTAATCTCTATGATTTTTCAATAGGCTAACTCAGTCAGTGAATGCAGGATTAAAACACAACACACATGAGTAATTCACCCACCTATGCATGTTATTATTGAAAAACATTGCCATCTTTTACATCACTCCTAAATTATTTTTGTAAACATGCATTTTAAGAGGTTCATTTTTTCAAAAAAAACTCAAAAACAAACTTCATGGAGTTCCTTACATATTTTACTTGATGAAACATGTGTTCAAGTACAATGTAACTTTGCATGAAAAATTGTAAAAAAATGAGGGACGATGGTGAAAATGACGAATATATTTTGAAAAAGCTTGTTGATGGATGGATTAAACATGGATTATAAGATAATCCAATTGATCTGGAAACTATTCTTTGAACTTTTCTTGAAGATTATAGATTCGCCTTTCCCAAGCATTTACTTTTTACAGCCAGAAACTACTCACAAAAAAATTATCAACTGTCAAAATTATCAAAAGTCTGTTGCGATACTTTCCCTGCTCCTTTGTTGTTATTATAACACTTTTAATTGTATGTTTGGTCAAAACGGGATCACATGTCTTGAAAGAATTTCAGCCTGTGCTAATCAAATATCCTAGATGCGAGTAGAAATAATCTTGATTTACGTCATTAAAAAATAAAAATTCAGTCAAACTGATGTCATATTTGGAATGTAAATGTAAAATTGCATATAGAAATATGGTTTTGAAAAGAGTTTCAACTTTGAAAATTTAATTTTCTTTGAAAATGTGACTTCTAGGTCGGGGAGATTCCCCATAGCCCCCATGTTGTAAAATCACAAAAATGGAAATATCTTTTCTTGTGTTGGGCAGATAATATTTTCTTTTACTGACATATTCTAATTTGTATAACTATCAGATACATAAGGGTAATATGAAAAGCGAACCACTAAAACTGATGAATATTCAAGTTTAAGGAAATTTTGTAATACCCTGCCATGGTGGCGAAACTGGTAACTACCTACTCGCATCTGAGTAATTAGACAATTTTATTTTGAAAGTTCAGTTGTTGATTATGTATCATAGATGGCGTACGATCTTGCTCGTAGTTTGTCGTCTGCCCTGGCCTTACAAAGGTTCTCTGCGATGAACTATACAATCAACTTTGCGGAGGATAAAGTGGTTGAGAACGGACCTGAATTCCTGAATGAAGAGCTTGAATTTTCCCAAAATGGTACGTTAGGCCATGCACATACAGTACATTCTTTTTTAATATAATGAATTCTCAGATCATGATTGCATCATTAACGTGGAACTTGAAATATCGACAATGTATGAAATAAATGAAGTTTTTTTTACATTTTCAGATAAATCTATTGTGATTCGATCCACTGCTCTAAAGACGAGCTTAGATGCACCATTCAAATGCATCGCGGGAGTCTATTACTGTCAGGTTATCTCTCCAGCTAGACTTTTAGAATTCATTTACGTTGATAGCTTGAGGGGACATACTTAGAAAGTGCAACAATGCACGATTTCGATAAATATGGATATGAGTTTGCAAAGAACTACTTCATACGGCACACTCGATCTAACCAAGTAACAAGCTCTTCATAACATGCCTATTGCCTATCAGAGAGGCGTATTCAATAATGACACAACGATATGGTGACACAACGATATGAAATGTCTGTAAAATATACTTGAAAATCAAATATATATACACAGGCCATCGTACGTCTGATGCGCCATCTCATTTGCAGTCTTTCATACAATATCCTCTTTCATGTAAAATGTGTTTTGTTGTCGATACGACTGTTTATACTTTTTCGGTGCAAGTACGTCATAATTTGAAATTAAAATCCACACCCATGTAACAACTCTTAAGGGACCTCTCAATTTTTTCAAAGCACAGTGATATATTTGTATACAGTACAAATGTTTGCTGTGCGTAGGTTGTATATAAATCAAAGGTTTAGTAGGGCGTTCTTTCAACCTTGAATCTCATTCTGAGATTTGTGCACTGGGACAAGTGAAACAAATGTAATAGCTATGACTAACAAAATTTCAAGATGACAAATGTAACTTATTCGATCATCTAGACAAAAAAACTACAATTGGTCTACAATTTTAATGAAATCCATTTCTATTTGACCGTGTATATACTTCGTTAATTTAATTACATCAAGTGATTAGATTAGTATTCTCAGATATTATCAGATAAAAGTGCCATTATCGCTATGAGCGATATATATTATCAAATGTATCGCCATTAGCGATAATATCTATATTTCCAAATCACCCTTTACACAAATTCCAAAATGGGAATTCCCCTTAATCTCTGTTATGATTAATTCTGGGCGTATATCTGTAAAATGAACCCCTCCCAATACAAGTGATTTGTAAGTGCCATTTACATTTTAAATGAATAAGGAAATGTAAAACATATTGTATTATATTTGACGTCAAAACATGCGATGAGGATTAAAAAACGCTACAAATGCCAACCGTCTTGTCTAAATATTGTAGTAAAACATGCACTCCGTTTACGAGTGCCTGTAGCTGCAAGTTGTGTAAAGGAAAGAGATTAGCACTTTACACACATCAAATAGTTGATATATTAAAACTGAACTACGAATCAGAAGATGTAAAAGAGCACAGAGACTTAATCGAAAATATTGTGGATGCTGTTGCGAAAAAAGTTGGGGACTTGTATCCTGTTTTTAAAACACAACATAAACTACCAAACGGGAGTTTCTATCAAAAAACGAAGATAGAATTGCCAAATGAGTTCGACTTCCTCAACCCATTTGTTTTTTCGGAGACTAATGGCGTAATAGCAATAAAACGGTCGGATGTTTCGGAAAGGGGCAAGGACGTGTATGTTAACGATTCTCTTCGACGGGTTATCTTGTCGGAACCAGCGAATGAACCTAGCAGTCGTGTTGGCGATTTCAAAATTCAACTTACCCGTAATGATATTCTATACCCGCTTCATAGAGCTATTTCAAAGGCACTCACGAATCTCCAGAATGATGATAGAGTAATTTACAAAGGGGAGTGTGATATCAGACGCAGCAAGATAGAACTTGCTCAGAATGGCGAGGTTGATCCACGCAAGTTAAAGCTCGGTGAGATACTACTAGACAGTCGTATTGTCGGACCATGTTTAACCTTGGCGGTTGGTGGACCACTCTGTGTCACTTATGTGGACCTGACATTCTGTTTGGAAGACAAAAGCCCTGACAAAGGCTACAATGCAAACAGTGGGCGGGATGTAAAGTTCTTTGTTCTCCCAAGACACTTCAAGACGTGGATACCTACATACTATGAACAGAGATACATGGAACTTGACAGCCACCACAGAAATGTATTGATGGTACTGAAATATTGCTTCGTTGAATGCGGAAAATATCAGTGTAGATCAACATATAACTCACATGTGTTAAAAACAATAGTTCTGAACCATTGTCTCACTTGTAAAGATGCAACATCGCTCGGGAGATGTTTCAACGAAGTAGCTCAACACGTATTCAGATTGGGAATTGGTAAGGACGATCATGAAACAAACAATTCACATCCTTGTCTGCACTTTAGTCCAACATGGCTCGAAAGTCTTAGCAGTATTGGGTATTTCCAAAGTAATATTATTACGGAAGGTGACAGATTGCGTCCTGGTGACATATTGTACACACTTGCTCTAACCATTCTAGTAGAGTTCATGAAAACTTGTCCCGAAGTTGTAGACTTGTTACGTACCAAAGACGTACTATCCACGTGTCTACAACTGATCTGTAAATACAGCATGAGGGCATTGGATATCAAAACTGATGGGGACGAGTTTGTTATTGAATTCAATAGCACGATTCCCAAAGAAAACATTGATGGTTTTATCAGTAAATTAAAAGATCTGAGACAAAAAGGCAGCGACATTGCTGATCTTTTGTCTGCTGAACCACTGCCGTATCCGCCGTACCGTTCCGACCCTAGAAACACTATAACCATCACTATAGCAGGAACAATACAACAAACAAAATCTAATGACAAATGTACAAAGTCGAAGAAAGTTATGGACGAGGACGCTATTGGTCCAGAAGAGATTAGATGTCGAGAAGAGCGCGCCAGACGTCGAGACGAAAAGTTCAGGCGTCGTCAAAATACTAGACGATGGGTAGAGGAGAATATACACCAGGATAGAAACAAAAGTATATAGTTGCGAATACTATGAAGTATAGTGTAATGATCGCCAAAATAGATACGTCGGTATGAAGAAGAACATCTTAGGTAGAAGTCAAGTAATGTTAGTTTGTAAAATATAGAATATTCTTACATGTTTGCTCCATCTCTCACGAATGTCGTATTCAATGTTCATACAAAACACGACTAAATCGCTTGAAAAACACGTCCGGAACAATTTCCATTGTTATGACTTGAGCCTGCTTGAGCACCATGATCGTGTGTTCCATGATATGACGAGGTTTTGGTGTATGGACAGCTAGGTTGAAAAGACTATTCATTTTACTGTTTTACTGTTTACACCCATGGTTTTATATAGTTTGCAAGAGTGCCAGATTAAATATGAAAAATAGATCATGATAATTTTGTTAAAAATGCTACAATCGCTACTTTCCTATTACAGGAAAACAACCATGCCTCTCAACTCAGTAAGCCTTAGATTTCAAGAATAATCACGTTACTATAGCAATTATAGTGAAACTAAGATATTTCACTCATTTAATTTGCAATGCTTTTGCAAACATCTTGCAATTTGCAAGTAATTAATTAATTGTGGACTCAATTTTTTTTATTTTAGATAAAAGATAGTGAGTTGGGTACAGGCACACTTCTATCAATAAGTTTGGAAATGATTTTTTAAATTCGAAAGTGAAAGCATTTGTGATCACTTTTTATTTCCCTTGGCATCCCGATGTAAAAATAATTTCGATTCAAACTCGAATATTAATCATCAAATATCTAATTACAGATCTAATTAAGATAAATAAGATCTAATTACAAAGCGGGGTCCAATGGTTAGTCGCTTTTCAGTCTATGTCGAGGAGTGTATTTGATTAGCCGAACAAGATAAGGCAGAAAACATAACTCGTAAAACAGGATACGATAGAGAAAGCTGAATTTGAATGAACAAAAATACAAGAAAATAATGTCTTCTTTACCAAATTGTTGCATATTTGTTCTCTGTTTAACAATTGTGACTATTAGGACACATGCTGTAGAAACAATTATTTTGAATCCAATCAGTAATGGCGGAATAGATGTCGCTTTTATTATGGTCCCTGGAGCACATATCTCCGGGGAGCAGTATAGGGATCTAGGTAAGACAATGTGTCTAGCTAGCTATAAGCCAAGCGAGGCAAGCGCTTTGCAAAAAGTTTGTAAAATATTTTTGACGTTTCTTTGTGATCTTTGCCACGTGCGATTCACGTATTACATTATTATTATGATTCATACAGTAGGACGGCACATTGAAAAAACCCATTGTTGTTTACCAAACTTTATATCAAAGTGGTGTAGCGATATATGACGTCATCGCACTACTTGTTTCTGGTCCGTTGGCTACCATCTTTATGAGGTCCAATGATACGGGAAACATTTAAACATTTGAAAATGAAAGTGACGGATAGAATTCTACTGATCTCTTCTTTCCAACTATCTCGTTTTAATGTTAGAAAAATGCACATAAATGGGAGTAAAATGCAATCAAACACGTGGGACTTTCACTCATTTTGTACCCTATATTCGTGCGAAATTAACATTGATTAAACATAATTTTTTTAAATGTCTGAATCGCTTAAAAGTTAAAGTAAATACGATATTCTATAAGTACCAAATATCAATCAGTTCCGATAAAATGCCTTCATTTGTTACATTTTCTACGAAAACGGCTGGGCATAATTTCGGTAGAAATGTGTATTTTACGACGTTATATGCATGGTTGAATCCAAAAAGTAGCGTCATTCAGGAAATTATCATGTGTGCGTAAAATCATGTGGATATTTCATTTTGAGTAACTGAATTATCAAATTGACATATATATTGTCTTTGGAACATCACCTTTACACAGAATTATTTTCATAATGATTGCTCGATTTGCTCCATGATGAAATGCAATTTTAGACCTGGAGCTGACTCGTATCAAAAAGTATTTAGCAATGAGTTCAGGCTCACTGATTTTAAAGACAGATAAAATGAACGAAAGGGAAAAGGTTATGTGTGCCTAAAAGCATGTGGATATTTAACCTTCAATAAATGAATTACAATTTTGATGTTTATATAATCTGAAGAACATCAGTCACCTTTACACATAATTATTTTATGATAATTGTTCGATTTCTTTCATGATAAACTGCAATTTTAGACCTGACACGTATTAAAGAAGTATCGGACAATGTATTTAGGCCTACTGATTTTGAGGATAAATAAAATGAGCAAAAGAAGAAAAGGTCACGTGTGCGCAAAAGCGTGTCAGTATTTGGATTTGAAGAAATGAATTAAAGTTTTGACATTAATATTTTTTGTGAAGCATCACCTTAACATAGAATTATTTTCATAATTTTTGCTTGATTCCTTCCATGAGAAAATGCAATTCTAGACCTGGCACGCGTATCACAGAAGTATTTGGCAATTTCGTCCAGTCTCATATTGGTTTTCAAGGTAAATGAAATAAGCAAAACTGGAAAAGGTCATGTGTGCGTAAATGCGTGTCAGTATTTAATTTTGAAGAAATGAATTAATTTTTTGACATAAATATTATTTGTGAAGCATCACCTTGACATAGAATTATTTTTATAATTTTTGCTTGATTCCTTCCATGAGAAAATGCAATTATAGACCTGGCACGCGTATCAAAGAAGTATTTGGCAATTGCATCCAGTCTCATTGATTTTCAAGGTAGATGAAATAAGCAAAACTGGAAAAGGTCATGTGTGCGTAAATGCGTGTCAGTATTTAATTTTGAAGAAATGAATTCATTTTTTGACAATAATATTATTTGTGAAGCATCACCTTAACATAGAATTATTTTTATAATTTTTGCTTGATTCCTTCCATGAGAAAATGCAATTATAGACCTGGCACGCGTATCAACGAAGTATTTGGCAATTGCGTCCAGTCTCATTGGTTTTCAAGGTCAATGAAATACTGTGCAAAACTGGAAAAGGTCATGTGTGCGTAAATGCGTGTCAGTATTTAATTTTGAAGAAATGAATTAATTTTTTTACATTAATATTATTTGTGAGGCATCACCTCTACGCAGAATTATTTTTATAATTTTTGCTTGATTCCTTCCATGAGAAAATGCAATTATAGACCTGGTACACGTATCAAGGTTGTATTTAAAAATTGAGTTCGGTCTCCTTGGTTTTCAAGGTAAATTATATGAGCAAAACTGAAAAAGGTGTGCTTAAAAGCGTGTGAGTATTTAATTTTTGATAATTTTTTTGACATTTTTGACATTTATTATATCTATGGGGAATCATCTTTACACAGAATTATTTTTCGATTCAAATTTAGTTCCTTTATTAGAAAGGCATGGCTAAGATTGGTTCTTATGTACAACTGTAATGAGATTTTTATGTTTGAATCGCACAAAAAGAGATAATGTCAAATGTGCGTGAATGCATGTCAATATCTTTTTTTTAAAACTGAATTATGATTTTGACATTTTCATAAGCTTTAAACCATTGCCTTTCCACATATTTATTTATTTTAACATGAGAACTTTAAAAACGTTCATAACTGAACGGTCAATGTGAGTTGAATTAAAATAAAAAATATCAATTATCTGAGCATTTTCGTTACATTACGTCATACAGGATTTCGTGCTTTAAGTGGGCTGAAAGTGGAAATGGCACGTGTGCAAAAACGTTTGTTATCAATTCATCTTTCAAAACACATTTTTATTTTTTACATATCTATGATCTATGATATATAACCTATGAAAAGAATTATTTTCAAATTAATTGCTAGGTTAATTCAATAAGCAATTCTGAGGTATATTTGAACTTTAATTCCATAGCAGATGTAATTCGGACAAAAGTTTTAAAATTCAAGAAGAGATTAAATCAATCAAAATAAATTTTATAATTCAAACAAGTCGACAATACTTGGTTCAGTTCTTTCATTTTCAATCATACCAAGGTGATAGATTAACATAAGTGACCTTTCGAAAACATACCATTTTTGTAGAAAATGAAAGAAAATCGCGTTATAACACGAGTAATTGTCAAGTTCACGTCTTAAGTTTGATGTGGTAAAAAGCATTCTTCATAAGTCACACATTTAAGTTAAGGGAAGCCAAGATCATTTTAAAAATGAAACATTTGAATAGATATTTTTAACATTGAAATAAGAAAGAAAGTAAGCTTATACTAGTAGATTTGCTAGAACTAGCTGTTTGGAATTCATCAACTTTTCTCCACAGGATCATTTCGTAGTACAAATGCAGGTCATTCAAAGGAAATATAGGTTTCAACATCCCCGTCTATGAATATTGATCTTTTTCAGACAGCAAAGGTAAGTTTAAAATAGAATTACTTCTTACGAATCCAAATTACATTTAAACTTAGAATTGTGATCTACGATCTTATGGGTATGTCACAAATTTGATTAGATACATTCACTCAGCAGGCCGTTAAACATGTAATTAACTTTACAAGCGTAACTATAGGCAACTTCGATTTTAGTATGTTCAAGTTCTGTAGTCTCGAGAGTCAAACGATTATCATAATTTATTTGGTCTGCTTTTAGAATTGGGAAAACGAAGGCAAGGTTTATGTTTTATGAACATTCCGATTTGATAGCAAACTTTATTTTTGAGTGTATTAAATCAAATAAAGCTTATTGCGTCGGGACCTGTACGTTCGCCCAATTAAAAGCAAATGTGCCGTCAATTAAAGAAACATGCACAGTGGTACACCCTTTTTGGAAAACATAACACTGATAATAAAAATTCATCATTTGTTATGAAATTTGCACCATCATTAAAAAGAATCTCGAATTTCATGATGACAAAATATCGGATAAATATGACAAGAAATAAAAATTTGTTACATTTTTTCCCAAAAAGTTGTAAAATAAAAATAAACTAAAAAAATAATATTTTCATGACAAAAAATAAATAGGTCAACTGTATTGATTATACATGACGTTTTCAAAGAGTAGAGAGCTAGATTCAAAGCACCGTTCCTGCAAGTTTCAAATGAAAATATTAAAAACTGCGCGAGTAAGAGGACCGCAACTTTTTATGTCTACACTGACAAAAACTTGAAATTCCCGTTGTAAAGATATAGTCCATCGCGGAAGTGCACGTCATAAAGCTGATGGGTTAAGGCAATGTGCCGTCCAACTGATACGTCTCTGCATTTATTAATTGTAAAACCAATGTAACATACATTATTATTCATGACAATAATCATTTTAGGTTTGGCTCTACAAAACGCATCACCACATAAACTATGGGTGGCTCTCACTACGAACTACACTGACAACCTTGTTAATCCAATCGAACTTGATTTTGCTATAGATGATGCCAAAGAAGAATTGATAGAGGCCGGGATGCCTGCATCCACAGAAGTGTTTCTTGCGGGACATAGTTTAGGGGGTACACTTACGAATGCTTTCCATGTGTAGTCTAGTTATCATATCATGGCACCAATAAGAATGATGTCAGTATTCTGGAAATTTTGAAGTTTTCATTTTTATTGCTCAGCAAGCATTTATTATAGCAATTGGCGATTATTTTTACAGGTGTATTTTTAAAAATGTTTGTACACGCTGACACGGCTAGTACCGCTGGAATGATTCTCTACGGTGCCTACTTTTCGAGGGGTGAGTTAGCCTCATTCCCAGTTCCAACCTTGACCTTATCTGGTGACCTTGATGGAATGAATAGAATAACAAGAATGGCTATCCAATTCAGGTAGGCTTTGGAAAAATCAACTGTACAACTCATATCTAGTTAATGGTTAGTGAAAGTGGCGGATCCAGTAACCAACAAGGGGGGGAGCATATTTCCGGTCAGAGAAAATAATTCCTCACTTGCGCGGAATTTTTTTTTGGAAAAGTGGGCGCAAATTTCGAAATTTTTAGGCCCATTTCTTCAAAATTTAGCCTGAAATTAAAAAATAAGGCCTCAAGGCCTTTTTGACCCACAATTTTTTTGGGCACAAATCTTTTTCTAGGCCCAACTGAGTGAGGCTATCTATTGACTTTCTAAAACGATATCCCCTTGGCATCGCAGACCCATTGATGACCGGGCAGGTACAACAGCGTAACGCGGTCCCGCAAACTTAGTGCAGTTGCAGTTACAAAGCAGTAACAAAGGAAAAAACTTTGACGCGTAGTCATAACTTTTACTTTGTCTAAAAATCTATTAAAACTTGGAGAGCTTCTGACCATTCCAAGATATCATAGATTTCAAATTGACACGAAAAGGAGATATTAAGCTGATGGGGAATTTAAATCTAAGAATACCGTTGTACCGCATCGGTAACGCTGTTGTACCCGCCCGTTCTATTGTAGTGCGTATATCAAGCGTGATATTAGGTGAAAGGCACGCAAGTGTGTCACCGCATCTATGAAAGCATTATACTGTCTAGTATAGTTACGGTGCGCGTAGTTACTAACCGTACACCATGTCATAGCGTCGAGATGGCTGTTGTTCGAGTCTTGACCTATTTTTATGATATCATTTTTACTATTTTACATTCAGAGAATTGATGAGTTATGTGACTGATAACAATTCAGATGATGGCACTTTTCGTTTTCCAACGGTTATACTTCGCGGTATCAATCATGGTCAGTATTTCACAGGGGATGTACCTAGCAATTTGCAGGAAAATGACATTGCACCAGAGTTTGATGGACCGACTGCACGGCAAATCATTGCAGAAGCGACTGTTGCCTTCATGATTAAAACACTCGGTGTACCCCAATCGAGGCTGTCAGATGCCACTAATAAGTTATCACAGTACTACCAGGAAAATGAAATACGAATGAAGGTATGAGGCATACGGCACTTAGGCAGGCATGAGGCTCTAAAAACGCAGACTTCAATGATTAATAAATGCTATATTTTAAAGGCAATGAAGATTTGATTCCTCCCACTAGTTACTCTGTAAATGATTAGATTAGAACAAATAGAACTTCTCGTGTTCAAAATATATAACGAAATCATTGATCATCTCTAGCCCATCCTTGATGCTTTCGCATTGGAGAATACAAATGGGTCGTCCGATTTCTCAAAAAACGCTCAACGAGTGATATCTGGACTTCCAACAGAAAACTGGAATAGACTACGGGTAGGTGTTTTAGTATTTGTAAAACACAGACATTTTGTGAAGAATAACGTGAACCTGTCTTAAAAGAACAATTTGCATGGAATACCAACATATGCCAAGTGACTAATGAACATGATTTATAGGTATCCAACGCCATACGCGATGATATCCAGTTTATACGGTCCAGGCCAACCATTGAAATAGTAGAGAATCAAGCTGTAATAGCGACATATTCGGATGTTGTTTATCCAGAAAATGAACTGGACATCTCAACCATAAACGAGAGTGCATCAAGGGTTGCTATCAAAATGAAAAGTGCTAATGACATTCAAGAAGAACTGAATGATGAGGACTTAGGATTTAATACCAGTGTCAGCTGTCAAGATATTAACAAGGTAATGGAACCTATAGTTTGTATTGAGTTTGAACAATATTTTGAAAACCCCAAAATGCTTATAGTCCTAGTATTTTTATCACCTTCCATAGATGGCGTACGACCTTGCACGTGATATGTCGTCTGCTCTGGCGTTGCAAAGGTTCTCTGCTATGAACTATACAATCAACTTTGTGGAGGACGACATGGTAGATATTGGACCTGAATTCATACTAGGAGATCTTGAATTTTCTCAAAATGGTATGTCAAAGCAAATTATTGATAGCAATATGGAATTCGTTTAATCACAATTGTCACGGAGTGACTTAGAATTGATTTGATTAGAATTTTGATTTGATGTCAGGATATGACTTAAATAATGGATTCTGCGTTTTAGGTAAATCTTTAGTGATTCGGTCCACCGCCCTTAAGACCAGCACGGATATACCAATCAGAGAGTTTGCAGGACAGCATTACTGCCAGACTATTTCCCCGGCAAGATTCTTAGAATTTATCTACGTCGATGGCTTGAGAGACCGTGGCAACACATAAGTGTACTTGTAACATCTTGTAACCATTTGAAACATAAGAAGTAGTGTTCACATTGACTTGAATTCTTATTGTCAAAATATTAGACATGTTACGATCAGTTACTATAGCAATGAATATTATGTTACCATGGATACAGGTTATATCCAACGCAGGGTTCTGTAACTATTGTTACACTTTTGTAAACATTTACAATAACTAGCTTGGTGGTGATATTTTGTCATGTTATGTAGTGTACCAACCAAAAGTAGGACAACTTTACTTTCAAGCTATTTCTCCAGCAAGACTCTTGAAAATATATGTGTTGATAGCCTGAGGGAACACTATATGAATCGTTTATAATGTTCATATTGCATTTATATCATGCACAGTGTGTTCCTTATGTATGCACCCCCTCTAAGCTCATACATGTGCACCCTATCATGTTATATATCATTTTATTAATTATCAAAAGTTACATAAGATTGCAAAGTTTCAAATTCAAGGGGCGTCCCTAAAAAAGATACATTGTACCATAGTATGCGGGGTAAGTCATAAGCATTTTTGGGCCTAGTTTGGTGATCTGTTCACCTTGTCCGTTACCCATTTCTTGTAATAAAGGAGGTAACATGACCTCTCACCTCCCTATAAGCCACTGTATGAATCCTGTCTATACAGCTTTTTGAATAACTGTCACAGACATGTGGACTGAACCTTTTCATGATGACAACTGCTAGAAATATTGTATCTTTTTTCTAGGACATTTCTGGATTCTGAAACTATGCAATCTTATGTAACTTTCTATGAGGAACAGAATGGTGTATAACATGATAGTGTGGGAATGCTACATATATTATTTAAGATGGGGTGCATACATATGAAACACCCTGTATATGACCATGACTTGGTTAATTTGTTAAAAAATGCTACCATGGCTACTTTTTATCACAAGAAAACAACCTTGTCTCTTACCTAAGTATGCCTCTTGTAAGAAAAACATCACGATAGTATATCAATTATCTAAAACAACGGAATGCCATTACATTTGCCACCTTTCCATTCGAACATATAATTATAAATTAAAACGATGTCTGTGATTAATAACAAAGAAACAAAAATGCTTATTTAACAAAATTATGAAACAACTCATTAATTGAGCCTCGATACACATATTTGATAAAAGATAATAATATAGGCACAGTACACCTCTTTTATTAAGTATGGGATGATTTTTAAAATTCCAATTAATACGGGGTGTACTACAAAGTTTCATTTCATTTGGCATCCTGATTTAAAAATAATTTTGATTTAAATAAGATAGTCATGAAAGGAATTATATAAACACTGTAATATCTAATTGCAAAATGGGATCCGATGATAAGTACCCATTTGGTTTGTGCCGAGGAGTGTACATGAAACGAACAAGATAAGGCATAAATCACTATATAGAAAAATGACTCGTGAAGGATACGGGATGATAACAGAATATGAGAGAGAAAGCTTAATTTGAATGAAGAGAAATACAAGAAAAGCATGTCTTATTCACTAAAGCTATACACATTTGTTATATTCTTTTTAACAAGTATTACTACTAGGATCCGTGCAGTGGAAACAATTGTTTTAAATCCCATCAAGAATAACGGAATGGATGTCGCTTTTATTATGGTCCCTGGAGCATATGTCTCCGGGGAGCAGTATGGGGACCTAGGTAAGACGTGTCTAGCGAGCTATGAGGCAAAGTTTTGCAAAAAATAATATTGACTTTCTTTGTCTATCTATTGATGAAGTTTTGCCACACCTATTTTTGATCCTGGCTACGTACAATACTAGGCGATCTATTACATTAATTGTTTAAAACATATCGACCATAAATGTATTTGTGATTGTATGATTATTAAGAATTAATAAGTAAAATGTACATATACATGTATGTATATAATCAAGACAGCATACATTATTATTCATGACAATAATCATTTTAGGATTGGCTCTACAAAATGCATCACCACATAAACTATGGGTGGCTCTAACTACGAACTACACTGACAACCTTGTTAACCCAATCGAACTAGATTTTGCTATAGATGATGCTAAAGAAGAATTGATAGAGGCTGGGATGCCTGCCTCAACGGAAGTGTTTCTTGCGGGACATAGTTTAGGGGGTACGCTTACGAATCCGTTCCATGTGTAGCCTAGTTATCATTGCAGCAACTTGATTTGCATCAACTCATATTTTGTTCTCCGGTAGGCCTGGATAGGGAATTTTGAAATCTGCTTTTCAATGCACAGTAAGCTTTTATTTTAGCAATTGACAATTTCTGCAGGTGTATTTCTGAAACTATTTGTGAGCACTGACACGGCTAGTACCACTGGAATGATTTTGTACGGTGCCTACTTTTCGAGAGGTGAATTGCCCACATTTCCAGTTCCGACCTTGACCTTATCTGGTGACCTTGATGGACTAACTAGAATAACAAGAATAGCTATCCAATTCAGGTAATGTAGCATTTGTAATCATCTGTTACAATTTATATTTAATTAATAGTTACTATAAAGGCTATCTTTTGATTTTTAAAAATGCGTAACCGCTGCGATAACAGAAAAAAGTAGAAATAGAAGGAAAAAGACTAACAGAAAAGCCTTAATGCGTATTTTAAGTTTTTGTTCATCTAAAAATTCTATGAATATTTGGGGCAAAACATATTCCAAAATACCATAAGTTTCAAAGACACAAAAAAGATATTTGGGTCAGTTATGGGTAGTTCAAATTCAAAAATAATCGGTCACCATGAACCCACACGGTCAAAGTTTCCGTTTTTTTGGCGGATAGGGGTAATAATATTGTAGCGACCGGGGTTGGCTTTTGATACTTTTGAACTTCCCGCTGGAGACCTTGCCCGAAATTTTGACGCCAACTTTCCCCCGGTTCGCTACTTCCCTTCCGCTCTGGAGCGCGATTTTGCCCGCTACTTTTTGCCATGGTAAGCCTTTAATTCTATAATTTAAGGTTCCCTGTAAATCTGGTTTGTAATACTGGGGAAACATACTTATAGCCACTTTTATACTTTTCGCGGGGTAATTTTATCTAAAGGGGTCAGCACCTGACTGAATCACATACCTTTCAGAACGATAGGCTCCTTTTGGCACCATTATTTTTATCTATATACATCAATGAAATGACAATATCTCCAGTTCTATTCAGTATTTTTACACCAAATTTTGACAAGTTGTTCTAATGTGATAATCCTTACTAAAAATTGTATTTCAGTGATAAAATTCAGGGTATAGGTCCCGGGGCGTAGGTATTTTGCAGTTTTCCCCTAAAAACTGCTCTTACTTATCCGTCACCAGGGCCAAAATTTTCCTCTTATATTCACGTCGGGAAAGGGTTAAAACAACACAGCTCCATTCATCCCATTTTCGAACTTACGCCAACCGTTCTTTTCACGCTATCACAACGTAATTTGTACAGGGGTAACTTTGTGAATAGTTTTTGTGCATCATTCCCCTGTACGTAGCAGTGTCGGGAGACTGTCCTGAGCTGCTACAATATTGATGAAAGATACACAAATGCGATGCCGCATTTATGAAAGGATTATACTATGTCTAGATACAGTCCGTGTTATGACAAACCTTACACAATGCCATGGGGTCGAGATGGCTGTTGTCCCATTTTTAATGGCATCATTTTTACATTCAGAGAATTGATGGGTTACGTTGCTGATAACAACTCAGATGGTGCTTTTCGTTTTCCAACTGTCACACCCAGTGGTATCAACCATGGTCAGTATTTCACAGGGGATATACCTAGTAGGGTGGCGAGATACGACATTACACCAGAGGTAGATGGACCGACTGCCCGGCAAATGATTGCAGAAGCGACTGTTGCCTTCATGATCAAAACACTTGGTGTACCCCAATCGAGACTGTCAAATGCCACTAATAAGTTATCACAGTACTACCAGGAAAATGAAATACGAATGAAGGTATGAGGCATACGGTACTTAGGCAGGCATGAGTCTCTAAAAATGTATAAATCAACCAAACCACATACTCCAATAACCAATATCACTGTGTGCTATATTTAAAGAACAATGAAGATTTGATTCCCCCACCGAATACCCTGTAAATAATTGGGAAAATAGAACTTCTCCTGTTCAAACCATATAACGAAAATTATTGATTGTCCTTAGCCCATCCTTGATGTTTTCGCATTGGAGAATACAAATGGGTCGTCAGACTTCTCAATAAACGCTCAACGAGTGATATCTGGACTTCCAACAGAAAACTGGAACAGACTTCTGGTAGGCCTTTTAGCATGTGAATAACACAAACATGTTGGTTGAAATATCACGTAGCCTTGTCCGCTGCCAGGACAATAGTCCTGAGAACATTCCAATGGGTTGTCTGTTTTGATTACAATATTGGAAAAATGTCCACGACTTGGAAACTTAAATGACCTACCTCAATAATTTCCTGAGTATTTTAGTTTGAATTTCTGTAATTGAATCCCCAACGGTTTTGGGTCAATTGGTAAAACGAGGAAGCTTTCGTTTATCATCGGGAAAAATTGCACCTCTTTTCAAGATACGCTAAAATTGTCTTAATGACAACATATTTTTACTAATTACTAAATGCAGAAGGTTGATTGAGACTAATGAACGTAATTTATAGGTATCCAACGCCATACGCAATGATATTGAGTTTATACGGTCCAGACCAACCATTGAAATAGTAGGATTTCAAGCTGTCATAGAAACATATTCGGATGTTGTTTATCCAGAAAATGAACTGGACATCTCAACCATAAATGAGAGTGCATCAAGGATCGCTGTCAAAATGAAAAGTGCTGATGACATTCAAGAAGAACTAGAGGATGATGACTTAGAGTTTAATACCAGTGTCAGCTGTCAAGATATTAACAAGGTAACGGACCCTAGTTCTGAATCGAGTTTGAACACGATGTATGAATCTGAAAAGATTTCGAGACGGCTGCCTTATATAAAATATTCAATCGTGATTTA